TATATATATATATATGGTGAGGTTCTAATAAAAACCTCCTTAGCCTAAAAACTAAAAACCATTGTGGGTAATTGGATTTATCTCATCCAATGGTTGAGATTAGAGCTTATACTGCAGTGAATCCAGATTCAGTGATGGTAATAAATGCCATTATTAAAGAGTACAATAAATTTGTCTGCCATTAAAGAGTGCAATTAATGTCATTATTCTTCAAAAAAACAAACACCTCACATAACTGAATCTGGATTCACTACAATAAATATCATTATTCTTCAAAAAACAAACACCTCACATAACTGAATCTGGATTCACTGCAGTGAATCGAGATTCACTCATACGTGTCTTCATTTTTTCAACTGGAAATCCTCACCCTATATATGAGTGAATATAGATTCACTATAGTGAATCCAAATTCACTGCAGTGAATCCAGATTCAATTATGTGAGGTGAAACTGGATTCGCTGGATTGAATCTGGATTCAATCCAGTGAATCTGGATTCATTGATTGTTTGTTGCCCCTATTTATTGCACTCAGTATAATAATGACATTTGTTGCACCCTTTAATGACATTTAGTGCAATAAATAGGTTTTTAGTTTTTAGGCTAAAGAGGTTTTTATTAGAACCTCACCCTATATATATATATATATACAAGTTTTATATACAGTTTTGGTTTTATATTTTTCAAGCTTATATATATGAAAAAAATAAATATAATTGTAAAATACTAACTTGTTTCATGTTTATATACTTATATATGATTTCATCAATATCAAGTTTATATAGTTCAATGAAATCATGTTTATTGTTTTAAAAGTTTACAAAAGATGCATTTTTGTGAAAATATTGAGTTATTTGTTTATAGACTTAACAATCATTATATACATCTTTTATTAAGTCTATAAAATCATTTTGTAAAGTTTTAAAACATGGTTTAGCTAAAATATCAAAAACAAGTGTTGTTTATTTTCATGTTTTGGACATATTTGTAAAATGATGATATTTTATAGAAAAAGATGCCATTTGAAAACCAGTTTTTGTAACATGTATATTATCATGTTTACAATCATTTCTCAAAGTTTTATATTTTTATAATTTTATTTGCTATTTTTAAAAGAGCTTTGAAAATCAGATTTTCTTGGATGATCCGCTCCGTTGAACTTGATCTACATATTCTAAAACCCCAACACACCAAGTTTAGGGTGAACCCGTCGTCGTTTGACCCTTCATCCACTCGTATCAATTTTAACGGTTTTGAATGAATAGAACTTTTCACATGGCTCGATGGAGGGTCAAACGACGACGGATTCACCCCAAACTTGGTATGTTGAGATTTTAGAATATGTAGATCAAGTTCAACGGAGCGGATCATTCATAATATCGCTCAATCATGTGATTTTAGAGGCGTCAATGAGAAAATCCTCTCCTATGACAAGGATACCTATTAATCTCATATATATATAAATTTAAAGTGGGTCGGTTTTAGGGATTAAATCAGGGATTGCATCTACCTTAAAAATTTCTTCGAAAGGAAAATCAAGAAACCATATGTACCATATACATCGCAAATAGCCATCTTTGATTGTGAAATCATGGAACTACAAGGAGAGCTGGTTCATAATAGTCCCTTAAGGTTTCTACATCTCATTGGCCGGTTCAAAATCGTACCGTTGGTTATAAAATAGGAAAAAGGAACAGTAATCTGTTCTTATAAAGCTGACAGAAATTCAATTACCCGGTAGAGCATCTTACAGTTCACTCTGAACACAGAAGATGAAAAGTACAGTTGATATAATTAACATTACATTGGAAAGAAGCAGAGCGTAGTATCTCCTCCTTCGGACCCGAGCCACCGAGTTTTGTCCATGCAAAACAATGCTCTCTTCAGACCTGCTAAGGACAAAGATGCACAATGAGATGTCCAAACCTACTTACTTACCCAGAAAACCTAAAAACAGGGAACTATATTTGCCTCTTATAAATCTCAGATCTAACTATAAAGATGCACAATGAACACTGGAAACAAAGGCTCTCTCTGTTTTTTTAACCAATTTCCAAAAGATGGGATAAAAGCCCAAACCAAGTTCTATGATCTCTCTAAAGCATCAACCATTCAATTAAAAGAGAGTGACTAGCAATCAGCACTAACAACCAAATATGAATGAAAACTACAAATTTATCGGTATTCGTCGTTTCCCCTTTTTTTCTAAGCTGATGTTTGGAATAAAAAATGTGACTGAGTTATGGTTTTTAGATAACTAAGACTATATATATTATTAATAGATATATATATATATTGATATATATATATATATATATATATATTATATATATATAGTATATATATTATACATAATACTTTGAGGCGATGGTGTGGATGTGCACATAGGCGTCAAGGAGGAAATCCCCTCCTATAAAGATCCGGGTACTCGGGTTTTCAGTGCTTTGGATAAGAGAGAGCTGCATTACCGATAATAAATGACCTTTAAAAAATTATCTTCCAATCACAAAGGAACAACATTGCAATATTTTGGCCTTTGTTCTGAATAAATTTATGGCCTCGACTTAGATCAGAAACTGTACAATCATGTGTTAAAGTTAAGAAGTTCTAGTATTCATATTGTGTACTCTCCATTAATTACATAATATAATGTAATTTATCTCTCCCTACGTCCCTCCCCCCTCCCCCCCCCCCCGCCCACCATCCTCCCTTCCTTCCCCTATCGCTCAGCCCCCCCCTCAGAAGAAAGCCCTAATCTTATCACTATAACATCCTCCGCTTCATGCCCCTTCTCTTCTCGCGAGAAGCTAAAATGCCGCCTTGAACCATCACAGAAAAAGTGAAAACATTAATCGTCTTCTTCCTAGTTGTCGTCTTCCTCATTGCACATCGTACCCATCACGAGAACCTATCTTAGTATTCTCAATTGATGAAGCCATTGCGAGGAGTTCTGTTCAGCTTCCTTATCGTGCATCAAAAACCACAACAGGATCTTGACGCTGAGGTGACGATAACAGTGCTAAGATTCAGCCATGGTGATCAAGGCATGTTCTTGTGAGCTTCTGATTTAATTTTTATTCAATATTATGTTTTACTGTTGAACTCAAAAGTTAAAAAAAAGTAGTAAATAGTAAGTAGTAATTACTAATTAGTATATTTTAATATAACAATTATGATTATTGTTGATTGTTCTCTATTGCTTCTGTTTCTGGCCAATTGTTTTCACTGTTTCTATTTAATTTTTTAATTCGAGATTTATGGTTAGTATTCTTTAGTATTTGATGCTTGTAGAATGGTTGTCAAGCATGCATGACTAATTTTGTTATGAAATTGTGATAGTATACTGATTTGTGATAGTATATATTGATGTCATGTTTGAAAAGTGTGATGTTCTATGATAAGCATTAGTTCTTTTGCGTGTTACATTAACGGGAGGTGAACATTACATTATGGGCTATCACTATTTTCAACGTTGATGTCAACATTCACAACTGGATGGCACCTTTGAGAATTTGTTTGTTAAATGAGGATTCTTTTGGTAGATGTATGAAATAAGCTAGAGTTTTAGTCACAAACTTCCTATCAATCGTCCCCAACTATCAAATCACCTTTTACTACTTCCCACCTAAGATCTCCTGTTTTAGTCATTATTCACCAATATAGGAGCATCATCCAATTAAAAGCATATGCTTAAAATCTGATACAGTACAAATTATATGCATTCGAATAGGCCAATCTTTAGACGTTGATATAGATAAAACACTGGCCCTGATGACCAAAGCTCAACATTATATCAGCTCATGACTGGAAGAATCAAGTGGTCACAGGTGGACATTTGGTAGCGTAAATTCTAACTAAAAGTGAAGATCATGCAAATCCAAAGTAAATACTGTTGAAACATATGATGTACCTTGAATGAGGGCTCTGTCAGTGATGCCCCTGGCTTTTTTTGCTTACAGAGCGTGTCAGAAGTTTCTGGCTAGGATAGTGATCATCCTGCAATAGATAAAAACCTTGTTATATTACTATAAATGACTAACAAAATTACAGTTAAGTAAATATTGATCAAGAAGATTAGAAGTCCAAAGCCGCCAAACTAATGGTGTGAAACTACAACAACGGAAAGTAAACATACTACCTATGTGAGTTTCAAACCTCAAGCTCAGTTGAAAACAAATCTCCTATGCACCATCTCTTGGAGATATTATACGAGCTTTGAACATATCCCCTCCAGCCTTAGCATTATTAGCAGCTGTCTACATGCATACATGGTAACTCCTAGTCTTAGGTACGTAAGCATCCACAATTTAGGTGCCTAGTCCATCATGGGAGCTAGCAAGTTTATGTCAAAAAGAAAGAACATGGCTCTCTGTAAAAGTTATTTGGCTGTTATTTTATTTTCTGCTGCTTCTACTGTTTCTCAAACCTGCATCTCCCACTAGCTACTAGTGCACTCAAAACCAATAGAGAATAAATAACCAGCATTAGAAAACTATGAATTGATATTACTTGAATGATGCCATCCGAATCTATTTAAGAATGTCTAGTGCCTGATACACAGTATGTACTCGCATATACTTTTGCACATGTGCAGGACAGAAAGAATCTGAGAGTGGATGCAATGATTCAAACTCTATGATTAAATTCAAACCCCAAAAATGAATCCTTCCTGACCCATTTTTTTTCAATTTAAATTGAAGACAACAAACAACACTGTTGTTTGATAGTTTGGTCAAATAAGTTGACACCAAGACAAGCCTGTAGGTTATCTCATAGACAACTCTTGGTTAAATTTTAAATTTAAAAAAGAGGCCCCAGCCATAGATCTCGCTAGACAAATAACTGGAAAAAAAAATTAGGCAAATCTCACAGCATTTCAGTTCTCAAGAAGCAGAAGACATTGCAAGAAAGAATAAATTTAAGGTTCTTCAAGGCATAAGTGCAAGCAACATAAAACAGAGGAATACCTGCATTAGTTTTTTTCTTTAACGTACAACTAACAGGAGAGATAATGACAGATCATGATATCATACTATCCCAAGTACTAGATATTTTGAAGTATTTAATATGGAAGTCAACACAACTTTCTGGTGACTGAGAGAAAAAACAAATAAGATGAATTAAACCTTATATTGAGAAGCAGCAGACTCGGACTGCATAGTCTGGTTTGGATCATGGCCTAGGGATTGAAAAGTATCGAGTGCATCAAGTGTCAGCTGCCAACCACAAACAGCTACCGGGTTGCTTGAACTAAAATCACAGTTAACATTACAACCAGCAGCAGCAACATTGCCATTTACCCAAGGACAATAGATGTTGTGATGCTTAATAGGATCAAACTCTCCAGCTTCTGCTTCATAATCATTTTCACCATTTGCTGGCCCTGGTAAATGAATTATGAGGGACAATCAGAAGTTCAAAGCCTATGCATTAAGTTGAATAAATAAATGGAAAAGGCAAACTTGTATTAACTACCAAATACATCCTTGCAGGATGTGAACACTAGAGAATGAAAACTGGTACCAGTGCATGATCCTTAGAAGTACTAGTGATACTATGGCAGATATCATTTACATGGAATCATATTACACATTCAACTTCATGATGTCCTAGAAGTACCCTAGCATACATGATGTCATAAAAATTAGGAAACTAAAGAGCCTAAGGGACCTATATTAACCTAATTCTTATGCACACAATACAATTAGATAATTGGTAAGCATATCAGTCATTCATGAATATGTAGAATACAGAACCATTTGAGCATTAAAATGTTATAAACTTTATTCAACCAACAGCAAGAGTTTTAATGAGGTCCTTCAAACGGCATGTGACATAGATATAAATTACTCCATATTCATGCCTGACTCAGAAAAAAAAAATTCTCATAAAGGAAGGGCAAAGGGAATATACCACTAGATACAAACAAAATGATTCGCACAAAACTCATCATTATGGTCTTCTATACGTAATCATGGCAATTTGGCAAGCAAACTCACTTATGATGTCATAAGTTGGATTTAATATCTTTGAAAAGCAGAATGGAGAAAGTTTTTTAACTAGGCAAGAGTGATGATTGTTTGGTTCTCCCAGGCTTAGAGTATGCCACCTAAGCATTTATGGAGAACATGTTTTCCTCTTTTTAAGAAACAATTGGGGTTGCCCTGTATTAAATTGGAACTGTATTCTTTACTCTTCTCCAAAGCTACTCTCCACACTTTTGGTTTATGTGGAACCTGACATGTAAAGAAGGTTGAGAAACTAAATCTGAAGAATGCAGATGCAGGATTAAAAGGTTGAAAAGTCAAGAGGCTATATTGGGAAAAGAAAATATTGTTTTCCATAAGTCGGAAACACTGTGAAGCAATTGAATCTCCCTAGACACTTTCTGTAGTTTCGGTTTTTATGCAACCAAACATGTAAAGCAGGTTAAGGAACTAAATGTGAAGAATGCGGGTTCTGAACAAAGAGTTTGAAGAGTAGAGGTTATATCAAAAAAAAGATTATGCATTTTCTGACGTTATAAATATTGTGAAGCAATTAAATTTTCCTAGCTCGTTTCTTGTCACGAACCTCCAACATGTTCCATAATAAGATGAAAGGAATATTATACATTGTGCAAAATCTTGACCAACCGATAATTACCTAGCCCATTTCCATTAGCATAATCTGAATCAAGAGGCACTTTCCCTTTCTGTGTGACTTCCTCTTTAGAAGCGTCATAACCAGAAGATATCATTGCATTGCAAGACAGGGAAGGTTGGAGACTGCTTATTTTCTTCCCGCTTTCAGTAGAATCAGCCTTTGTTGAACCATAAACTTTTGAACCACTGTCAGCTTTTCCTACTGAGTGTGACATCATATCTTGGCTATCACCTTGAGGATCCTCTCTACCCATTTCTTCTGGTACAAACTCATCCATTAATCCAGGCCCTGGAGTAGATTCACCAGTTTGCCCTACGTTCTCAGTAACTTCGGCTATCGGCTCCGCATCACCGACAACGCTATCTGCTCTGTACACCGATATATCAGCCCCATGAATTTCAGCTTCATGGCTTGCCCCCATACCGACGCTTCCCCCACTGATACCTATACTGAGCCTGTCCCTTGCATAAGCAGTAACAGTTTCGGCATTAAGGATTTCTTCCCCTTCATTGGTACTGCTGCCTCCCATATCGTGAGCAACACTTCCAGCAGCAGGCTGTAAGCAGCTGCTCTGCTGTGCTTGATTGCTGAAATTTGGTTCCAATGCATAATTCATGTCAAGGTTTCTATACATGCTTGGAGATGGTAGATATACCGACGCTTCCCCCACTGATACCTATACTGAGCCTGTCCCTTGCATAAGCAGTAACAGTTTCGGCATTAAGGATTTCTTCCCCTTCATTGGTACTGCTGCCTCCCATATCGTGAGCAACACTTCCAGCAGCAGGCTGTAAGCAGCTGCTCTGCTGTGCTTGATTGCTGAAATTTGGTTCCAATGCATAATTCATGTCAAGGTTTCTATACATGCTTGGAGATGGTAGATGAACATCATTAAAATCTCCTGGATAATTTTCAACACTTTCCATAGAATCTTCGTCAGCGCTATGGCCAATGGTATCCATAGCAACAACGGATGATGCACGAGCAGAATCTCTAGTGGATGGATGACCTACAGCAAAGTCACTTCCTTCTTTAAAAGAATCAACTCTGTTAACATCTATATCAATATCAAGGCTCATATTACGGCTGGGACCAGCACCTGAAGAATCTACCCTGCGCGAGGAATGATAGGTATCAAAAATGTCTAATTTACGGGAACGCTTTATGGGACCATCTGAATTGTGGGAATCATCTATTTCATCAGCATCACGATCTATAACAGTCCCTTCAATGCTATCTGCATGCTGAATCCTGTCCTGTGGCCTGTCCACTGTGCTCCCACCTTCCTCCAGGTTGCGTTTCCTAGTGCTTGGACCCCGAGACTCATATGAAGCTGCACGATCACCAACCTCGCTACCAGAAGGCTGACCAATTATGAGATCTCTACCCATACCACGATCATCTAACTGCTCCAACATTACAGGCATGGCAGACTGTGTAGATGGTAATCCTCCAGCCATTGTCAGATTGAGATCCATGCCAGCATTCGAAACTGATTTCCCCACATCACTCGTCGCTGCTTCATCATGATCCTCTATCCTTTCCTTCTCTACTCTATCAGCACCAACCCATCCATTGATTCCACTGGCTGCACTAGCTCCACGTGTCAACACCGGCCTTTTTCCATTATCTGTGTTACCGATATTGGGACCAAATCGAGCGGGGCGAGGAACAGTAAGAAAGTCCAAGATTCTGACAGTCACTCCGCACAAGTTACAATCTAATAAAGGAGACCTCAAACTACACCTAGACTCTTGAGCAGACTTTTTCTGCTTTCCTTTGTCTTTTTTAGCTGGGGCAGAGAACATACTCTTGCTACCTTCACCAAAGTGAGAATAATGGGGTTCATCACCAGTTGGGCAAAAGGAGCACGCATTTTTGGTGGATTGAGCTGAATGTTCTTCACAGTCTAGCACATTTGGGAGCCATCTTGGTTCCCATCCGCACAAGCTTATAAGCTTTTGGGCCTGTTTAGAATTAAAGAAAAGAATGATGTCAATTAAAACAACAAGGATAAAAGTTCTAGTTTTCCATTGGCATTAATGAAATGCTAATGAGTCGATAAAATAAAGTAAACTTACTTGAGAGTAAGTACTAAATGCATCCTCTCGCGAGAATTCTGATAGTGGCATGCTGTCTGCTTTTGAACCCAAGTCCCCAGAAGAAAATGAACGTGGCGTTAACAAAAAACGGTCAATCTGTGCACCCCTTGAGAGTTTCATAACCTCAATTGCAGAGGAAGCTATTACAGGAAGACAGAGAAATTGCAGCAGCCCATCAAACCGGTCCTTGTAGCCTCCAGTAAGCGCTGATGGCGGGGTTGGAGGGAATTGCACCAAACTATCAGCACAACAATTTCCTTTCCAAGGACAGGTAACTTTGTGCCCTGCGTCAAGATGCTCAGCAAATGCTTCTCCAGCACCGTCAACTGCAGCATAAGAGACCAAACAGTCTTAACTAGATTCAAATCATAAAGTCTTAATCACATGACTGCTAGGAAGTGAAGTACATGATGTTAATGCTCTCTATTTTCCTAGCAAGATAAGATAGTAAATAGATAGAAACCGTGAAATAAAAGCTTTGATCAAAGGGGGGGAACATAATCCTAACAGCTGCATATTGTAATTTAGACATATACAGCACCATCATAGAGCCATGTCAAAATACTCAAAACTAGATGCATCAAACAATAACAGTCAGTCATCCTGGATATTAGACAAGGTCTTAGTAGAACTCCTTCACACTTTCTAGCAAAATTGGGTTATAGCACATTGTACCCTAAATACACTTTTTAAACTTTGGCACCACCAAATTTTTTTAATATATATATATACCTAAAGTTTACACCTTTTACCTCTGAACCCCAAGGTTTTTTTGACACTTCAATACCCCAAAGTTTCAGTGCTATTTAACTTTAGTACTGTTCATTTCACTGCTATTTATTGTGTCTCGCGTATTTAAGAAATGATTCATTTAGGACAATAATACCTTCATGATGAAAAATATATCCCTCTACCTCATCTCTTCCCCTCATCTATTAGGCTGTTGGTAAGAATGGGTATAGTCTAAATAAAATGAGCAAGAAATGGGGTAGAGGGAATTAATTCTCATCAATAGGATATTATTGTCCTAAATGAATCATGTCTTAAGCACATGATATATTTTAAACGAAAAATAATAAACAGCAGTGAAACGAAATGTACTAAAGTTAGTACTAAAATTTTGGGACATTAAAGTGAAAAAAAACTTGGGGTATCAAAGTTAAAAAGGTGTAAACATAGGGGCAGCAAACTTAAGAAAGATGTAGGGTACCAGAGTGTAAATTATCCTCTTTCCTCAAACCCTAAATAATGCTGAAGTGTCAGTAGCAATCTGAAAGGATACCAGTAATAAAGAAGGAACAGACCTTCATGAGGCAACGATGATGACAATTCAGGAAAATTAAGATGTGCACCACATGCCTCACATTCAATTTTGTCAACATCAGCATTCACCCAACCTCTCCTGGCACAAGACAAGGAACTGGCTCCCTGCAGGTTTTGCACTAAAAGATTATAGGGGGGGCAGAAAGAAACAAAATTAATTGGCATAGCACTGAGAAAGAGAATAGCATTAAAACAATTTGATATTTGCAAAATATTTGCAATAAATGTGTATGAAGAAGAAAGTAAAGCACAAATACAGAGTGCAGCCACAAAAACTAGGGGGTGCAAGTATGCTAAAATCAAACATATGAATGTACACAACTAAGGATCAAAATAGTAACTAAAACAAATTCTTTGGATTGAGAATAGTAAATCTCACTAAAGTTGTCGCTCAGTGCAAGCATGATAAAACAAATCATTGTTCTACGCACCACAAATCCCATTTTAAACTAATCAAGTGCATTTAGGTAGATACTGACAAATACTTTTCCCGGACTCAGAAAAATTACCTATTTCAGTTATTGGCTAACCCATAAGCCAAACAAAGAACTGAATGTGTCAGCTATCATTCCAGGACTTTGTTTGTGATGATGCCAGATAAATAGAAGTTAACTTGGTAAGAAATTCACACAGTCTCACAAATCAGCATATAACGCTGTAACCGGAGTATATCGTCTCTCTGCTAATTTTTTGTTGACCTTTTGGCTTCTTCTGACCCCTAATTAGATTCACATTCAGAGTCAAACTGTAGAATTTAGAATCATAGATAGTGGAACAAAAGCAAAGCTGATTTCCAAAGCTTGATACTTGGCTGAATAGATTTCCACTAGCCTCTTCATGTGCATAAAAATCCTTTTGTTAGCAGATGCTTAAATGTAATGCATGTTGAAGAGGAATAAGAAGTTTCCTTTAGAGAAGAAAGAGAAAGAACTGAAGCCAGATTTTTTATAGATGGGATAACTGCACGAAATACAACTTTATGGTGGAGCAGAAAGGCAATACTGATCTTATTCTGGATAGGTACTCTTTTAATTCAAAAATGAAAATCGATGGTAACTTAACAAAGAGGACCAATCCTCAAAAAGAGGGTGAAAATAAAAACAATACTGCATTTTCCATAATTCAATATTTCTTTTTCAGCTAAATAGCAATTTTATACCCTATTGTTTCAGCTACTTCTCACTTATATACCCCAACTTATATTTGGTAGCAAAAAAATACTTAAATTTATTTAACTTGCACTTATATTCCCTCACTTTTTATGGCTGCACTTAAAATACCCTAAAGTTTTTACAACTAGCACTTACATACCCTAAAGTTCTTAAAGCTTGCACATAAATACCCTCACTTATGCAAACTTGAGGGTATTTAAGTGCAAGTTTTAAAAACTTTAGGGTATTTAAGTGTCAGATTTAAAAACTTTAAGGTATTAAAGTGCAAGTTTTAATAATTTTAGGGTACATATACATATACATATATATATGTGCATATACAAATACACATATATATATATATATATACAAGTTTTCATAATTTTAGGGCACATATACATATACATATATATGTGCATATACACACACACACACGTATATGTATATATGTATATGTATTTATATATGAATATATAGATGTATATACAACAACAATAACAACCAAGTCTTTATCTCAAATATTTGGGGTCGGCTACATGAATCCTATTTTTCCATTCCATTATGTTCATCTCCTCCGTTAAGTTAGTCTTAATTATATCATTCTTAATTGCTTCTAACCAAGTCATTCTAGGTCTACCTCTAGATTTCCTAGCCCCATTAACTCTAATACTATCTACCTCTAGATTTCCTAGCCCTATTAACTCTAATATTATCTATTTTCCTAATCGGTGCACTAAGGGGTCTCCGTTGTACATGACCAAACTATTTTAATCTATTCTCTCTTTTATCTTCAATAGACGCAACCTCTAATTTACTACGGATGCACTCATTTATTATCCTATCTTTTAATGTATACACACAAGACTATCACAACATTCTCATTTCTGTTACACTCATTTTCTGAACATGTTTTTTAATTGCCAAACACTCTGGCCCATAAAGCATAGTTGGTCTTATAATCGTCCTATAAAAAATTTCCTTTAGTTTCATTGGTATTCTATGATCACATAAGACTCCCGAAGTACTTCTTCATTTCAACCATCCCGATTTGATTCGATGCACATCATCATCCTCGTATCTCACCATCATGCCTAATGATTCATCCCAAATAGCCAAAATGATTAGTTTTATATATATACATAACATAACATATATGTACATACATGTGTGTGTGTATACAAATACACATACATATATCTACATATACAGATATATGTATCTATACATATACATATATATGTATATATATATATATATATATATATATATGATTCATCCCAAATAGCCAAAATGATTAGTTTTATATATATACATAACATAACATATATGTACATACATGTGTGTGTGTATACAAATACACATACATATATCTACATATACAGATATATGTATCTATACATATACATATATATGTATATATATATATATATATATATATATATATATATACATATATATAT